CCCTAAACACTAAACCCTCAACTCTAAACCCTGACTCCAAGTACTTGTCTTCGGCATGTTGGTACTCAGGTGGAAGAGGGAGAGGATATCTGCATCTCTCTTATGCTGCTGGGTTGCATGGGCTTTATGATGGCTACCTTCTACCTAGTACACTGGCCAGACGATGACATCCAGCAGATCACGTGGGAAACTGGGAAGCCCAGTGGTAGCCTTTCGCTCTTTTTGGCTTTTCTGGGTTCCTCGATAACTTATCCGGATACCCTTACCTTAATCTGGCTACTGGACTACCAAGGACCCTAAACCCTAAACCCTGAACCCTGAACCCTAAACCCTAGACCCTAAACCCTAAACCCAGGAGATCATTAACTCCACAACCAGCATCTTCGGAGCCTTGCTTATGTTCCAGGGTTGCAATCGCGTGGTGAATTATTACTTCCTGGATCACGTGTCGACGTGGCATCAGCTGTCAGTGAACATGCTGCACATGATGCTATGGTTTCTCTACTCCTTTAAGGGTTCAGGGTTTAGGGTTCAGGGTTCAGGGTTTCTCCACGCATATAAGGGGATTCTGTGGGGTTCTGTGGGGGTTAGGCTGTCGGGGTTAGGGATTAAAGGGAAAAGAAAATGGACACCCTAAACCCTAAACCCTAAACTTGCCTGTAGTTAGCAAGAGGTGGGAGGAGTGAATCCTTCTAGTCGTCCGTACAGGAGCTATAGTCCAAACTCCTAGTATCCCCCTTAATAAGCCTCATAGTAGTCCCCTATTTTAGGGTTTAGGGTTCAGAGTTTAGGGTTTGGGGTTTGGGGTTTAGGGTTTAGGGTTTAGGGTTCAGGGTTTAGGGTTTAGGGTAGTCCCCTATATAATCCCCTATAGAACCTCCTTTAAGGAGTTTAGACTATAGTACACAGAATCCCCAAGTATGAGTCGTTCCCTTTTTTTTTCCGGTCATATAATTCCCTTCCTTACCCTAATCCTAAACCCTAAGCCCTATGCCCTAGACCTTAAACCCTAAACCCTAATCCCTGAACCCTAAACCATAGATCCACACAGCCAATGCCAGGTTTTGCGGCCTGCAGCTCATCTTGGGGTACTACTCCGGAGCAGTGGGTCAACAGAAACTTCCCGCCCAGAGGCGTGAAGCCTTGTCTCAGGCAGAAACTGGGATCGTCCGGGCATGAAAGTAATCCTTATGGACCCATCAACCCCAAACCCCGAACCCTAAACCCCCAGACCCCTAAACCCCCAGACCCCTAAACCCCTAAACCCCCAAACCCTAAATCCAAAACCCCTAAATCCTCTAAACCCCCATCCTTGTCTCAGGCTGATAGCTGCGAGGGAAAAATGCGGTCGGTGCACCTAGAGTGCGCTGAGAAGCTCATGTACCTAGGTACCCCAGTAGTACCCTTTTACACGGTTTAGGGTTTAGGGTTTAGGGGTTTAGGGTTTAGGGTTTAGAAATGTACCTAGGTACCCCAGTAGTACCCTTTTGCCCTTTTTATTTGGGGGGTTTCCTTATTAAATCTGAATACGAGGAAAAAGGGTACCCTCATTATTAAGGGGTTACTGGGGAACCTAGCTACTTCTCTTCCCCTTCAGCAGCGGTCTTGCAGCGGTTTAGGGTTTAGGGCTGATAGGGTTTGGGGTTTAGGGTTTAGAGTATAGGGTTTAGGGGTTTAGGGTTCAGGGGCTTAGAGTTCAGGGTTTAGGGCTTTAGGGTTTAGGGTGGTTCAGGGAAATAGGTCCAGCAAGGAAAATTCAAATGGGCAATTACCTGGACACTGGGAGTTTATGGTTGATTGTTGGGTCTCGGGTTTCCCAAGAGATAGGCGGTACCCTTTGTAAAGGGACTTTACTGGGAAGCCCAAACAGGGAACCCCAAGAATATACCAGGGTCCTTATATTCTATTATACTCCTAGACCCTAAACCTTAAACCCTTAAGCCTTTTACGTCTTGCGTCCGATGCTTGGCTAGAGATTGTGGTAACGGTGTCTAGGAGCCGTCTTGCAGGCCATCGCAGTTGACCTAGTTTAGGGTTTAGGGTTTGGGGTTCATCCCGAACTAAACCCTGAACGCTCCAAACCCGAAAACTTCAACCCCTAACCCCTAAGCCCTAAATCCTAGACCCTTAATCCTAAATCCGATAATTTCCTTCTTGAAGGCATCAAATCCATTTGAACACCCATGCTTGGGCTGTTCTCATGGGGCACATTACCGGCTTTGCGGCGGTGAACGCATGGAGTGCCGTGCAACAGGAGCTTCCCCTCATTCTTTCCCCCGCAGTTGCTGGGTCTGAAGTTTAGGGTTTAGGGTTTAGGTTTAGGGTTTAGGGGTTTAGGGGTTTAGGGTTTAGGGCTGAAGGGTGGGGGGCGATTAGAACTAGGGAGAATGGATTATGATTGAACAGTATTTTGGGTGTCTAGTTGACCTGAGCCCCATATGAGCTACAGTCTAAACTCCTTACAGGGGGGTTATATAGGGGAGTATATAGGGGACTGCTATAGGGATTATTAAGGGGGATACTAGGAGTTTAGACTATAGTACATATAGATTAGGGAATGACCTTTCTTTAACGGTAAGTACTTCAACACTATTTTCTAAACCCTCTACCCTAAACCCTAAACCCTAAACCCTGAACCTAAACCTTAATCCCTAAACCCCAATCCCTAATCCCTAATCCCTAGACCCTAATCCCTAAACCCTAAACCCCAAACCCCAAACCCTAAACCCTAAACCCTAAACCCTAAACCCAAGGTTCCAGTAGCTGCTTATTTTGGGATCTCCTTCATCTATCGGAAAACTGCGCAGTGGCGGCTCGAGAAGATCATGGAAGATGGCGAAGAGGACGAGTACGAGGTGCTTTTAGGGTTTAGGGGCTTAGGGTTTAGGGTTTAGGGGTTTAGGGTTTAGGGGCTTAGGGTTTCGGGTTCAGGGTTTAGGGTATTATATTACTCCCCTATCATGGAGAATCAAATGGAAAAGAAAAATGAGAAATGACTTGGACAAGAGATTCGAGATTAGTGTTTAGGTTTAGGGATTGGGGTTTAGGGTTTTCGGATCATAGGGTTGTTGCTGAATTGAGAGACTGGTGCCCCTGAGGTCCTTTGGCGTGAGTGCGTGGCAGAGACGGAAGATGAAGTCATCTCGCTGTCTGTGTCGTTCCTCATTGCGCAAGTGTTCCTCGGGTCTTCAATTGAAGCTTGTTTCGGGTTATAGTGACCCTTAAGTAGTTAGAATATGGCTTTGGGTATATTATCAGAAGATCCCCATATACCCCGCATCCGAAGCAGCATAATGTTTGTTCGTGAAGCGAAGAGCGTTCTTCCCTCGTACGGTGGCTATTAAATCTCGCGCTGCCATCGTTACTTAGGAGCTCATTTTTTTGTGCTCGTCCTGGGGTACTTGAAGTCGTTTCTCAACAATGGAGCTCCCCACACTGGTATAGTACAGGGCGATCGCTCCCCTTGGGTTCCAATTGCCCTTCTGTGTCTAAGTAGTAACCCTAAGCCCCAATCTCGAAAGCTTAGACCCTCCAGATATTCCTACTGTGTTTAAGGGACCATGCCCCTTTTAAAGGGGTCGTTAACTCCTTAAACGCCGAATATAACCTTGTATGTTTCCCTTTCATGGGACCACCAAAGCCTAAAACCCCAAGCCCTAAACCCTAAACCTTAAAGGCGGTAAACCTTCAACCCCTAAACCCCAAACTTCTAAGTCTTAAGCCCTAAAGCTCAAATTCCTAAACCTTAAGCCTTAACTTAAACCCCAAATCCTAAATCCTAAACCCTGAACCCTAAACTCTAAACATCAACCCCTAAGCCCTAAACCACAAACTCCTAAGCCCTGAGCCCTGAACCCCAAACTCCAAAACCCTAAACCCTAAGCCCCAAACCCCAAACCCCGAAACCGCGAATTCCTAAACTCTAAACCCCAAACTCCTAAACCCTCAACCCGACGTTGTAAACCCAAGACCCTAAACTCCTAAGCCCTAAGCCCTAAGCCCTAAACCCTAAACCCCAAACCCCAAACCCTAAACCCTAGGCTGCGTCTGGCCATCACAGGCGAGCTCCCAGGACCACGAATATCCTATTACTATTACTACTCTTATGTTTAGGGTTTAGGGTTTAGGGTTTAGGGGGTAATATCCCATTCCTATTACTATTACTATTTCTTCTTCTACTACTACTACTATTACTACTACTATTACTACTACTACTACTACTACTCATACTAATATCATTCCTGTTATTATTGTTATTACTCTTCTTATTTCTTTTTCTTCTACTACTACTCCTACTTTTATTCTTCTTATTTGACATGCTTTTATTATCATTACTACAAGGGCGCCCTAAACCCTAAACCCTAAACCCCAAACCCTAAACCCTAAACCCTAAACCCCTAAACCTCTGTGAAAGGACCGGGAGGCGAGGATCCCCCGAGCTCGTGGCACTCGAGCTTGGGCATGGACCTCTAGGGTTTTAGGGTTTTAGGGTTTTCGGGTTTTAGGGGTTTAGGGTTTTAGGGTTTAGGGTAGAGGGTTCAGGGATTATATGAGCTTGTCACTTCGCGACTTTCTGTGGTGCGGTAGAGATTGTCGCGGCAAAAGACCAAAAAAGGGTTGCAGATTTGGTCAGTATTCTTTAGTCACATCCCCTTTGCTTGTTGCAGTGCTTCGCTCAAGCTACCCAGACCCCCAAAGGGATCTAAAAATTAGATCCCCTACAAGCCATATGGGAAATTATATAAGGATTATATACGGGTTATAAAGGGTCTATATAGGGGATCTCATTTTTAGATCCTCCCAGGGGTCTGGTTAGTTGAGCCCAGCGAAGCAAGTTGGATGTCAGGCGAGCAGGATTCCAGGACCCTCCTTGGTTTAGGGTTGAGGGTTTAGGGATACTGTAGGGATTCTAGAGGGTTGATATAGGGATTCTACAGGAGGTACGGCTTAGGATGGTTAGGATTAAGTTTCAAGATATGAACAGCAGGGAGTTCAAATGATGAACCGATGCTTAGAGCATCTTCCTTCCTTCGGTTTAGGGTGAAGGGTTGCCTAGCTACAGTCCAAAACATGGAATTATACTCCTTAAAACCCTCAAGCCCGAAGCCGAAACTCTGAACCGTGCCGGCGCATCTGCATCGCAGCAGCTTCGACTACGGTTAAGGGGTTAGGGGGGTTGTGCAGAGATTTCATTTGAGCCAAGTCTTTTGTGTGTGGCTCAGGGGACTTTCTAGGCAGCCCAACCCCAATTACAAGATTTCAAGCTGCATGTATACTGTACCTTCTAAGTTCCCTGGGCCCTCAAGCACCCTAGTGACCTGACACCCAGCGAAATTTGGAGCAGCTACCAGGAATCCTTCAGCCTACAGCCTGAAGCCCCACACCCTACGCGCTTCACCCTGAATCTTGCGCCCTAAACCTAAAGCTCTACCCTCGAATTTTTTCCCGGAACTTCCAAAACCCTTTAATAAAAGAGCATGCTTTGGTAATGGTTT